GTAGGTTGAGAGGGGATTTGATAGAGACGTTTAAGATCATTAAGGGACTTAGTGGTATTAGTTCCACCCATCTGTTTGAACTGGCTACGTCAGACCATCTGCGCGGGCATCGCCTGAGGCTTAAACATCACAGAGCTCGTTTGGACATCAGGGCAAAGTTTTTTACGAACCGGGTAGTTAACTACTGGAATAAACTCCCTTCTGATTTAGTGGAGTCTGAGACAGTAGAAGCCTTCAAAAGGGGCTTAGACAATTGTTGGTCCATCCTTTTTCCAGAAATATTGTAGTTGTACTTTAATATGTAGTGTATTTTGATGCTGGCATATGAAAGTGCAGAGATTGCTCTTGTTCTTGCTTCATTCCATTGCAGAAGCAAGAAGAGACAATCCAACGTCGAAGTGCCGGGGGTCGCTTCACTTACCGGCACAAGAACTGGACGCTCGTTAGGCGGAGGCCTCTATCGTCCATCTGACCTGACCTGACCTGACCTGACCTGAATGCATCACCATTTAGCTTGGTGTACCGGATCACAAGGTCCCTCCGTGCCCATTTTTCGTGTCAAAAATTAGCCACTCCGGGATTAGCATCTACTCACTAGTAGTCTACAGTGTAAACCGTTGACGATACTTGGGTGTTTCTGTGATATTGGTGTGAATTTTTGCTTGTTACTTGTGCTTCGTGCTCACTGATTTGACTTGATATCGTCCATCGCATCAGGGCAAAGATTTTTACGAACCGGGTAGTTAACTACTGGAATAAACTTCTTTCTGAGTTAGTGGAGTCTGAGACCGTAGAAGCCTTCAAAGGGGGCTTAGACAATTGTTGGTCCATCCTTTTTCCAGAGATATTGTAGTTGTACTTTAATATGTAGTGTATTTTGATGCTGGCATATGCAAGTGCAGAGATTGCTCTTGTTCTTGCTTCATTCCATTGCAGAAGCAAGAAGAGACAATCCAACGTCGAAGTGCCGGGGGTCGCTTCACTTACCGGCACAAGAACTGGACGCTCGTTAGGCGGAAGCCTCTACCGTCCATCTGACCTGACCTGACCTGAAATGCATGTAAACAACATCTTTGGGCCGCGCGCTTGAGATATGAACTAGCGCTAGCTCGATCCGCATCAACAAAGCCGAAACGGTTCTTTGGCTATGTCAAACGGAGATGCGATGCAAATCCGCCTATCCCTGTGCTCTTTGGACCTGACGGCACTGAAGTATCAACCGATCAGGCCAAGGCCTGCTTACTTGCAGAACAGTATGCTAGGTCGTTTGTTCACGAATCTCCATTGCCTAATATCCAATTGCAAGCAAAGATACCCTTAGACTCCTTTCTGATGGACCTTTCCATCTCGGAAGCTCAGGTACTCAAGCTCCTGCGTGACCTAAATCCCACAAAAGCTGCCGAGATAGATGCCCTCCATCCCAAACTTTTGTACGAGCTGGCTGGGTTGTTGTGTAAACCGATTAAGTGTATCTTTGAGAAGTCTCTTCGTAGCTGCTCCCTACCTGCTGACTGGAGAGATGCTATCGTGTGCCCTATTTTCAAAAAGGGTGATAAGCACTTACCTGAAAATTATAGACCGGTTAGCCTAACAAGCGTACTGGTGAAAGTATTAGAGAAGCTTGTAAGAGATGCTCTGGAAAAGCACTTAGCTAAGTTCAGTTTGCTCAACCCGTCTCAACATGGTTTCCGCAGAGGCCACTCCTGTTTGACTAACATGTTGGTAGCCCGAGAGTGCTGAGCTGAGGCTGTGGATCAAGGACAGGCAGTGGATGTGTTGTTCATCGACTTTTCTAAAGCCTTTGACACCGTACCGCATTGCCGTCTTTTGTTTAAACTAGAATCCTACGGCGTTTCAGGCCAAGTATTGAAGTGGATTTCGGCTTTCCTGGAAGGAAGGCAGATGAGCGTCCGAGTAGGTTCCGGGCTGTCTTTCAGACAAGCCGTTCTGAGTGGTGTTCCTCAGGGGTTGGTTCTCGGACCTCTACTGTTTGCATTGTATGTCAATGACCTCCCTGAGAAGCTTAAGGTACCATCCCTTATGTTTGCGGATGACTTAAAATTTTGGAATACAGTGAGCGGTTCTGTTGGGCCCACGGCTTTACAGACAGCTCTGGACAAGCTATGGGAGTGGTCAGAATTATGGCAGATGCCAGTCAATCTTGCAAAGTGTTCGGTCCTGCGCATAGGATCAAGCACTTCCACAACTTCTTACGTACTTGGCGGAAATGTATTGCGTCAAGTGACTGAACAAACTGACTTGGGTATCTCGTTATCCGCTGACTTCAAATCCAGCGAGAACTGCACAAATGCTACCCGCAAGGGTTTCCGAATGCTGTGGATGATCCGCAGGTCATTCGGCATTATAACAAATGAAATGTTCGTTATATTGTTCTCAGCCTTCGTCAGGCCATACTTGGAGTACTGCGTGCAGGCCTGTCCTCCATGCTTGGTACGCGATAAGATGACACTTGAACGAGTTCTGAGGGTTGGTACGAAAATGGTACAAGGATTGAGGCATCTCTCGTATCCCGATAGGCTGCTCAGGTTGCAGATGTTTTCGCTGCACTATAGGCGCCTTCGGGGAGACCTGATTCTTACGTACCGTATATTGACCAACAAGATTGAGCCTGATCTAACTGGACTGTTCCAGCCGGCTCAGATGCCATCTCTTCGTGGTCATCCTCTGAAGTTGCATAAGCCTAGATCTGATCACGTTAGAGCTGACGTTCGGTTGTCACTCAGGGTCATCGACTCATGGAACGCACTACCCAGCGAAGTAGTATTAGCACCAACGGTGAAGGAGTTTGAACATCGACTCGACGCCCTTGGGTTACAGTTTCAGACCTTTCCGTTTAGTTCTTAACTTCTACATCTATTTCCTTGGCTTCTCACATCTATTACTGTTATTGTCTTAACCACACTTTCTCTCCTTTGCTACAATTACCATTATTTTGTTTTTGTTGGTTCCCTTCTCTTAACCTTTATTCTATTCACGTGGCCGGTACAGTGGGGACTGCTAGTGCAGGCCGCGTGGGCATTGATTGGTTGACCGTTATGTGATTCGTGTATATTGATTTGGCTCCTCTCGGCTCCAAATCGCTCCCGCGAACTCCATCCTGGTTCAACGACGCATTGAAGAAGGAACACACATGGGAATTCTCCTACCGTTCCTGTCCAAATTGAACTTGAACTTGAATTTCCGCACGGTCTCCAGGCAGCTGCTTCGTGTTATCACAGGCAACGGGGTCTCGTTGCGGACAGAGTTTACACCTACTTGCGAATGGAAGGATTTTGGTGAGTATTTTTGTTCATCGCAATCAGCCGACAATTCAGATATGTCGACCAGCTGTCCGGGAAAGCACCAGACGGCTGTTTCGCCCTATTGGGGCTCATCAGTGGTGCGCATCCTTCGGTCCTCTGGAGGATCGAACCCATGACTGCTAGTGGTTCTTGCCAACTAGCCCGCAGCTTATGCAACTGCGCCATGGAGGACGGTATCTGACTATCGTGAATTGTTAGCTAAATGCGATATAGCCCGACGCATCCTCCACTGTCATGCAGGCACCTGCCATGCAGATGACAGCGGTCGGCCTTCCGGCGTCAGGACTTCCCGGTTACGGCAGCTATGAGTCGACATAGCATTTTGTGGAATCCGTACCGCCTAAAAGCGTAAAACTTTAAAGCGTATCCAAACATAAGTTTATAGTCTGGGGAAAGTTGAAGTGGGATGCTGTTTTGGGAATGGATTTCCTCTCCCTAGATGGTGGTGGAGTTGCACTTTGGTGCAAGATCGCATTGGAGAGTCATTGATCACCGACACGAAGGTCGAGGAGCCTTCACTTCCGCAGCCACGTCTTAAGTAACCTTACATTTCCAAAAGGAGGTTATTGAGCCCAATATTGGACGCACTAACATTACCAGAGAACACACTGACCAGTTAATCTCAGTGCTACGAGAGTTTGAAAGATGTTTACCGCAGCTGGTTCTCCTGGCCGTACGAACCTAGTTTAACATGAGAGTGATACTTTGTCCCATCGACCTGCTGGTCAACATGCGCGCAGTTTACCGGTTCATTGCGAACCGCAGTCGTAGTCCGGGATCAAAGGGACGCTGGACGAAAGTATCATTCGAACTCCGTCGTCACCGTGAGCATTGTAATGCGTTTTGGTGAAGAAAAAAGAAGCGGACTTGCGGCTTTGTCCAAAGGACCAATGGGATGCTGGACTAATATTGTAGCAGTCTGGAGATTCCCCGGTTTGCCTGTGTAAAATTCTAACCAAAATTATTTCATTGTACACCTAGGCAACCGGTGTGGTTTGTTGAACTGCTTGTTGAATTCGGATGCTTGACTTGCTCATCGCCATTTTTTGCTTGGCGCTCGTTTCGGTTGCAACTCGCGACTGACCTGTGTGCTGTGCATTCTCCGTTCTTCTAGCTAGAGCGTCCACGGTGTCGTTCTTTTATAGCTAGATAACGGAATCTTTTACTGTACCAATAAAAGTTTCCCTGCAACTCGATCCGTCTTCTCGAATCGCTCTCTGGGCTCCCGGTACAGGCGACCCTCTAAATTGGTGACCCCGACGTGACATTATCATTTCTCAGACCGAAAACCGCTATGAGGCTCTCAAGGAAGCCACGATTAAGCGTTTTATGCCCTCTGAGGAAGTTCGCCTGCAGCAGCTTTTCAGGGATTTGCAGCTGGGCGACAAACTGCCCTCAACCCTGCTGCGAAAAATGCAGCAACTCCTTGGTTCCTCAACCATGGACGAGACGTTACTTCGCGAACTATGGCTACAGCGGCTACCGGAAAACACGCAAGCGATTCTCGCTACAGTGAGCTCCGTTTCGCTCACTCAACTAGCAGATTTAGCGGATCGGGTTATTGAGCGATCACAGCCACAAGCCAACGCCATCAAGATCAATGCCGTCGCGTCCCAGGGCACTTCTAGCACTGGCTTACAGTCAACTATACAAGCCCTCCAAACACAAGTTGAGACACTTAGTCGCCAGGTACAACAGCTTACTATAAACAGTCATCGTCATAGCCGCTCACAATCGCCCTTCAAACATTCTAAGTCTAGCAACAGGCAGGCCAGCTGCTGGTACCATCAGCACTTTGGTAACGCAGCTCGTAAATGTGTCAAACCTTGCAACTTTGCCGAGAAGCAGGGAAACTTCTCGGCCGGTCCATAACGGCGACGGACGCGTCCGGTCAACACCAAAGTCGCCTCATCCGCGTTAGGGATTTAACTTCCGGCGCCGAGTTTCTAGTCGACACCGGAGCCGAAGTTAGCGTTATACTCCGTAGCCCAGATGAGGTCTCGCCATCGCCGACCAAGCTGCGTGCCGCCAATGGCACACCAATCGCAACTTTCGGCGAAAGTCTGCTAACGCTCAATTTAGGCCTCCGGCGAACCTTTCGCTGGCCTTTCATAATCGCTGCCGTGCCTTTCGCCATCATAGGCATAGACTTTCTTCAACGCTTGGACCTCGTCGTCGACGCTAAAAGGAAGAAGCTTATCGACTCTAGGACACAGCTCAGTGTTATCGGGACTAGCGCCAACGTGGCTGCTATCACTCTCATTCGTGTCCTACCTCAAGCTTCACAACCTTTTATAGAACTTTTCAACAAGCATCCTAAACTCGTTCGCATCCTGAACGACTTGCCTCCTGTGACGTCAAACTTCATGCATCACATTTGCACTAAGGGCCCACCTGTTTCGGCCCGCCCTCGCCGACTAGCCCCGGACAAGCTCAAAGCTGCTAAGGCGGGATTCGAGCAAATGCTCGAACTGGGAATAATTCGCCCGTCCAAAAGTCCATGGGCATCACCATTACACATGGTGCCGAAGAAATCCGGTGATTGGCGCCCCTGTGGTTACTACAGGGCACTTAACAAAGTAACCGTCCCGGACAAATACCCCATTCCGCACATGCACGACTTGACCTCAGCTCTAGCTGGCAAGTCTATCTTTAGCAAAGTCAACTTAGTTCGCGCCTACCATCAGATACCTGTGGCGCCGGACGACATTGCTAAAACAGCAGTCATCACGCCATTCGGCCTATTCGAGTACCTCAGAATGCCTTTCGGCCTCAGCAACGCTGCCAAACTTTTCAGCGTTTCATTCATGAGGTAACGCGAGGACTCGAAGGCGTTTATCCCTATCTAGATGACATTCTTATCGCGAGCTCTTCTGACGAAGAGCATCTTCATCACCTCGACGCTCTGTTTCAACGCTTAACACAGCATGGGGTTTACCGTTAACCCCGATAAATGCGAGCTTGGCCAAAGTTCCATTGACTTTCTTGGCCACCGCATATCCGCCTCTGGTATTGATGTTCTGCCAGACAAAATCCAGGCACTGAAGGACTATCCTGCTCCCAGTTCCTTCAAACAGTTGCGCCGATTCCTTGGCCTGGTCAACTATTATAGACGCTTTATTCCTAACTGCGCGAGCATTGTTCAACCAATGACTGACTTGCTCCGCGGTAAACAACGGTTTTTTCATTTTGCAGATGGCGCTAGACTGTCTTTTGAGAAGTTCAAAGACGCTATCTTCAAGAGAGCACTTCTCGCCCATCCAGACACATCTGCACCACTCTCCCTGACAACTGACGCATCCGACACTGCCGTCGGTGCAGTTCTTCAACAACTCATCGACCATCGATGGATACCTCTAGGTTTCTTCTCGAAACGTTTACAACCTGCCGAGTCGCGTTACAGCACCTTCGGTAGGGAACTGTTAGCTATCTACCTAGGTATCAGACATTTTCGTCACTATCTCGAAGGTCGACATTTTACAGTCTTCACTGACCACAAGCCATTGATCTACGCAATCAATGGCGCAACGGACAAGTATTCTCCGCGGGAAACTAGACACCTAGACTACGTTTCTCAGTTTACGACAGACGTACGACATGTCTCAGGTGCTCTCAATCCCGTCGCTGATGCGCTTTCACGCATTCAGCAGATCAGCTTATCGCCTGGCACCAACATTGATCTAGCCGCTATGGCTGCTGCCCAACAAGCTGATCCCGACATAGACAAGCTACGACGCAACACCTCGTTGAAACTACGCGAAGTTCCACTAGCTTCATCTGAGGGGACCATTCTTTGTGACGTCTCACAAACTTCTCCCCGACCCGTAGTTCCTACTTCGATGCGTCGACTAGTTTTCAACGCTTTACACAACCTGTCTCATCCCGGCATACGTGCTTCGCAGAAGCTCGTAACTGAACGCTTCGTATGGCCCAACGTCAATCGCGATGTCCGCCTTTGGGCACGCGCATGCTTAGAGTGTCAGCGCGCCAAGGTATACAGACGCACCAACAGCCCACTTGGTGTCTTTCCCGCTCCTGACTCGTTTTGCGCACGCCCATGTCGACCTGGTCGGACCTTTGGCTCCATGCAAATTGTACGTGTAACTCCTCACTTGTGCCGACCGATTCACCCGTTGGCCAGAGACGATTCCGATAGTCAACTGCTCATCTGAGACAGTTGCGCAAGCTTTCCTAGAACGCTGGGTAGCTCAATTCGGTTGCCCAAGCGTAGTCATCATTGACAGAGGATCGCACTTTGACGGATCCTGCAGCAAACTGCTCGACGTTTTTGGTTGCCAACATAACCGAACCACCGCATACCATCCCGCAGCTAATGGGATGGTAGAAAGGTTCCACCGGCAACTCAAAGCCTCACTCTGTGCCCAATCTAGCACATCCTGGCACGAAGCACTTCCGCTCGTTCTCTTAGGCATAAGAAAAACGATTAAAGCGGATTTGCATGCCATTCCATCGTCGCTAGCCTTTGGATGCACACAACGCTTACCTGGTGAACTCGTCTCACCAAAAGCGCCGACAACCTTCGACTTTGGCGACTACGCAGCTCGCCTATCTCATCACATGCGACAGCTTCAGCCTGTGCAACCCAGAGCAAAGAGCTTGCGTACCAACGTGGACGAACGCGTAACTACTTGCACGCACGTGTTCGTTCGCACTGACGGCGTACGCCGACCACTTCAACCTCCTTATTCTGGTCCGTACCGTCTCGTACGCAGAAGCGACAAAACGTTTACCCTTGATTGCAATGGTAAGACTGAGTCGATCGACTCAAGCCAGCATTCCTCGACAAGTCTGACTCTTAGGTGCCGCAAACACCTTCACAGCCTGCGCCATCACAGCTCGCACCGCAACCTCAGACGAGTCAGTCCGCTCCAGCAGGACCGACAACCTCAACCGACAGCACTTCTATTCGCTCTGCTATCGATCGACGCGGTAGGAAACTCAAACCTCCGGTTCGATTTTCGGACTTCGCTAGCACTCACTATTTTACATAGAACGTGCCTTTGAAATTTTCTTCTCTTGCCAAACGTTTTTGAAAATTCACAAAAAAGAATCAAAACGTTTTGAAATTACCAAAAAAGAGCAAAACCCTTTGAAAATCTAGAAACAACTTTGCACGGTTTTCGCTTTACACTCTTTTGTGTATTGCTATGCATTTACGCTTTTTTCATTTTGCTTTCCATATACACCGTCGGTTAGTTGCACCTCGGTTTCACTTTTCGCTGGATCCCCGCACGTCAGCTGAAAGTGGAACGAACTTCCTGCTCAACCTCATTCGTGAGCTTTACTAACTTTCCCCACAAACAGTTTTTTTTACCGTTTCGACACCGTAGGGAGGACACGGGTGGGTGCCCGCTAGGGTCCGATTGCATGGTTCTCCCCCAGCAGCTGCATCAGGTTTCACAACCTGGTCTCGCAGAAGGTTGGCCCGCGACGGACAGTCCTCATGTAGACCGAAGGATTGCTTACACAGTCGATTCTGGGAGAGGGCTATGTAGCAGTCTGGAGATTCCCCGGTTTGCTTACGTAGAATTCTAACTAAAATTATTTCATTGTACACTTAGGCAACCGGTGTGGTTTGTGGAACTGATTGCTGAGTTCGAATGCTTGGCTTGCTCATCGCCATTTTTGCTTGGCGCTCGTTTCGGTTGCAACTCGCGATTGACCTGTGTGCTGTGCATTCTCCGTTCTTCTAGCTAGAGCGTCCACGGTGTCGTTCTTTTATAGCTAGATAACGGAATCTTTTACTGTACCAATAAAAGTTTCCCTGCAACTCGATCCGTCTTCTCGGATCGCTCTCTGGGCTCCCGGTACAGGCGACCCTCTAAAATATATCATTCGATCATCGTCGTCAGTGGGCGTAGCCAATCGTTTCGGTAAAGAAAAAGACGGGATCTTGCGACTTTGTCTTGCTTATCGAAAGCATACCGAGGTAACACGTAAAGATTCAACTCCACTGCCCCTTATTGCTGCCACATTCGATGCACTCCATGGTTCATTCTGGTTCTCTACGTCAGACCTTGCATGTGGTTACTGGCAAACAGAAGTAAGAACCAAGGAGATGGGGGCTCGACGTTCACTGTTCCCAAAGGTCTATATGACGTTGAAACGATAACCTTTTGACTGGTTAAGCTCCAGCTACATTTCAGAGACTAATACAGAAAGACATGGAGGGTCTGCCACCTGGTAGCTGCTTAAAGATTTTGGACGACGCAAATGTTTATGGGCGATCGATTGAAGAGCATAACTGGCAGCGGCGCCTTGCACTGGATCGGCTGCGCGGGACGCGTTTGAAACCACTGGGTCCAAAAGTTCACTTTATCCTGCTTGTATTTACGTACTTGGGGCACATCATCTCCCATGCCGGTGTGAGGGCCGACCCCGCCAAATGTGAAGAAATTAATTCCTGGCCACAAACTAATACGACAGCAAATCTCAGAAGTTTCTTAGGAATGGGTTCGTAACATCGACGGTTTACTTTTAACTGCGGCCAACTCAGCTCCACTGCATCGTTTAACTAAGAAGGGACGAAAATTCTGCAGGAATAACGAATGTCAGAACGCTTCTGCAGAGTTGAAAGTTCACCTTACGACACCACCAGTCTTGGCTCTCCCTGACACCTAACCAGAGTCGGGAGATTTTGTGTTGGATACAGCTGTGAACGATGAAGCGATCGGCGCGGTTTTATCCCGGTGGACACCGGCGGGCGTATTTGTGAGCTCTTACGCTAGTCGCCGCTTAGATAAAAGCGGGAGGAAGAACAACACACCTCGACGGGAACTACTGGCGCTGGTTAGCTTTTTTCGACATTTAGACCGCACCTATTGGGAAAGGCATTTCATGTTCGCACTGATCACGTCACTTCAGTGGTTAAAACGCTTTGTGAGCCGGAGGGTCAGATAGCAAAATGACAGGAACCCCTTCAAGCATACGACTTTAATGGTTACTATCGTCCAGAGCCACCACACTGTAACGCAGACACACTAGCAAGGCCATTGAGATCCGAACAGTTCAAATCGGCTTTCGTAACCCCAGAGACTGGTATTGCAGGGCCTAGGAGCAAGGATGCGATTCCCACATGACTAACACCTAAAACCGACAGCTGAATGGCTCATCGAAACCAACTGGAACTGAAGTTCGTGAACGTAGCACAGAAGAGCGCTCCCTAATCAGGCACTGGAAGGACTTGAGAATCATCCACGGTGTTCTGTGTCTCGTTGATATCCGGTCAGCAACTGCTTACACCGAGGACACGAACCCTTGAAATACTACAAAACTTTCATTTAAATTTGGGCCATTCCGGTCAGTTGCAAACGGAGGCTGCAGTTCAACCATACTGGTGGCCTGGCATTCATGCCGATGTCGTTCTATTCTGTGCGTCATTGAGGTCTGTGCTACGTTGCAACCAATGGTGCCTGTCTCTCGTGCTCCTTTGGAACCAATGGTTACTACAACACCAGGGCAACGAATTGGTGTACATATTATTGCTCCCTTTCCGATAACAAAGAGCGGGAACTGCTGCCTACTAGTTAGGATAGCCTACTTCACGAAGTGGTGCGAGGCAATACCTATCAGATGCCAAAATGCATCCACTGTCGCTTCCACTATCGTCAACGAGTGGGTTGCTCGTTACGGCGCACCCATATCCCTGCACTCCGATCAGGGCGCGGCTTTTGAGTGTCATTTAATGCAAAAAATCTGCCGCTTGCTAACCATTAAAATGACACGACTTACCATCCACAAGGAAATGGGCTCGTTGACTGGACCAAAAGGACTATCAAGGCTATCCTACAGAGTT